ACGAGTCTACAAACACGATGAAATTGCCTTTGACCCATAACCATAGGAAGACCCGTAGAGATAGGGGTAATATTGTTACGAAAGCGGAAGTCACGTGATGCTGGTAGCGCGTGGTGAGTTTCTAGAAGGATCGGGGGAACATCACAAATAATCCAGTATTTGCTAGGCGCCCTCTATTCCTGTATAAAAAGCGCCCCAGATAAAGCGAGACAATTAATCAGAATTGGAATTGCAGATAGAGAGATTGAAATTATAGACACGGATAGTTGAGTCAAGTGGGTGGTAGTCACCATAAGTAAAGCATGTGAATCATTGTGAATTATAGCGTGCGTTTAAGTTAAAGTGACTGTGGAAATTAAGTGTATTACAAAGTTTGTAACGAGAAAGAATAAACTAGTTTTATTTAAGAAAGGACTTGTATCGCTGAAGTTTCTTGGAAAGAATTTCTATGGAAAATTAACAAACAAACAGAGATGTAACAATATCATTAATGTAAATAAGACAAAGGACCAAGGACTGACCCTTGAGACACTCCAAGGGTCTAGTTGTCTGGACTCCATTGATGAGAACCTATGACCTTCTCCTATTCCATTACCTTACAGTCCAGTTAATGGGCCTTTCCTTAACCCCTACAAATGTGAGTTTTGTATCAATTTCTGGACCAATTTCTGTTGATCATTGTTTGATTATTTTTGTCTGAAGCTTAGTGATTGTTAATATATTGTCTGGTAATTGTTGGTACATAACATGTTGATACATAATTGCTAAATATTTGAGCCTCTGTACCTCATCTGGTATTAACCATTTATTATTCAAATAATTTTTATACAAGTGAAGTAAATGTTTATAAAAAGTAATAAAATTAACGTCATTAAGATGATAAAATATTTATCCACATGATGGTGAATTACAAGCATGTTTTTTAGAGAGAACTGAGTTATCTGGTTTTTTCTATGTTATTTTTTCAATTTATTTTAATAAGCTTTGTCAAAATATATATTTTAATATATAAAAATATATATACTTTTCTCAGTAAAATTTATTTGAATGAAAACTGGAAATGCAAAGAAAAGTGTTGGCAAAAGCACCAAACTTGAACCACCAGGCCATGCCGGGCACTGTATATTGAAACTTCATATACTGGTACCTGACATAAAGCAGTAGAAAGGTGCTCGACTCCCTGTCCCACCAAACTTGTCTACTGCTTTATGTCAGGTACCAGTATATGAAGTTTCAATATACAGTGCTCGGCATGGCCTGGTGGTTAGGGTGCTCGACTCCCTGTCCCACCAAACATGCTCACCCTTTCAGCCATGGGGGTATTATAAAGTGATGGTCAATCCCACTATTCATTGGTAAAAGAGTAGCCCAAGAGTTGGCAGTGAGTGGTGATGACTAGCTGCCTTCCCTCTAGTCTTACACTGCTAAATTGGGGACGGCTAACACAAATAGCCCTTGTGTAGCTTTGTGCAAAATTCAAAACAAACAAATTTCAATATACGGGGTGTCTGAAAAGTGTGGAACCATAAGTACTTGAGCTAATTTTACAGAATGTTCACCATCTTGTAATTCAAAACAAGTTTGAAGACAATTTTTCCATTCTATTTAAACATTACAAAGCATATTCATATTATTGTCACTGGTCCAACACTTGTTGTCAGTTTGTTGTTTCTTACATCCCTGATCTTTCTCTTTTATCTTTGGATGGTGTGCATTAAATTCATCAACAACCTTCTCTGCCACACAGCAGTATTAACTCAACCTTCTCATGCTTTAACAGCACCATAATCAGTCACATATCTGAAATTAAGAAAAGCTGCAAATCACGTATGGTTCTAGACTTTTTGGACACCCTATATAAGGTAGTACTGCATTGCTGAAGAAAGCTAATTTTTGGGTTCTATGTTGTTTTTTATGTATCTACATGTAAATACAAGTGGTTCATTACATATTTGGTTTTGTGTTCATGTTACAGATTCTTTGGGTGATAGTACGATTCTTTCTTCTCTCTACAGAAATGAGTGTTCTAGTATTTGGTCTAGCCTTTGGTGAGTGTTTTATGTTTAAAATAACCAAGTAATTAAAGTGTACGTTAAAAACTGAATGTTTGGTATGTCATGTTATAATTTTTTTATAATTTTTTTTTCCAGTTACTTACAATTTGTTTATTTCTTTAGGACAAATAGTACTATAACATTATAACTTGGAGGAACAATGATAATTTCACAGATTAAAAATGGAGATTTATACATAAGATATCTCACCCATGCTAGTCATTACCACTACCTAATTCACAGGAAATGTTATCTTGTAGTTGTAGATTGTGGACATATTTTTAGTTTTTGTGTTAACTTGATAGGTTTTTTATCTTGTTATTAAGTCTTTTTTGGACTAGGATCTAAAACGTTGTAAAACCTATTCAACAAAACAGAATGTTTGTAGTTTCAAGCTATCTATTCAGTAAGCCCATAAATTTTAACATAATTTATGTTAATATATTATCTTCAACTAGTTTGTTTAATTAACATAGTATGATAAATTATTTATTGTATACACTCTAAGTTAATTCCACTGTTTCAGTGTAGTTTTAACAATTGAAGAAACACTGCATTGCAGATTTAACACTGTAAATTAATACCACAGTGTAACTGTTTTGATATAGTTTTAACAATTTAATAAACACTCATTTCTGGCATAAACTCTAAGAGGGTGTTTTCCAAACCTTAAATAGCAGCACCCCCTAACTCAGCAAAGTTTTCGTTTCACCCCCCCCCCCCTAACTCAGCAAAGTTTTCGTTTCACCCCCCCCCCCTACATTAACATAATTTTCACATGTGATAACAGCAAAATCAATATTTTATTTACCTGTTTTTAATAACAAAATTTAATGAAAATGAGTGAGTAAATGTGAAAACAAAAACAAGCTTTATCATTGTCTCTTACTCTTCTGTATCTTCTGTCATTATATTTGGGCTCTCACCCCAAAAGGCCACACACCCACAGCCACCAGTACATTCCCCCAGAGAGGCATATCCCACAGTTTGGAAAACACTGCTCTTAGAGATCATCTCAGAACTTCAATGTCTAATAAAAATGAAAATAAATTAACTTGGAGATATGAGAGGGGGGATAGGGTGCTTTTGTTTTCCCATCATGCATATTTATGTAGCTGGTTGATAATGCTTCATTTGAATATTTCAGAAGTGAAAAAACAATTTTCTAATTAATCATTTAGAAATTCATACACTAAAGTCACCAGAATTATGACAGTTATATATTCCCCCTTTCTACAGCTGTTATTTGATTTATAATTACCAGAGGTTGATGGAGCTCCACTGTGTTGATCTTATTTTAATAATTACGTATGCAAAGAAGTCAGCTCCGTACATGGCACATGCAGTGGTAAGATAGGTCGAACTTTCAGTAAAAATATAATAAACAACATGTTTAGATTTTGATCAGGCACCAATATTTTGAAATGATTCCTAAATTAATTGCACAGTTTAACTGTTTTAATACAGTTTTAACAACCTAAGAATTCAGACAGTATTTACCTACAAATAAGCTATCAATTAAGATTAGAAAAATTGAATTTCTGTTTCATTAGCTTAAGTTGAATGTGTCATAATCTAAAATAATGAAATATGTTCAGGGCACTTAGATAGTAGTACAAGCATCAGACGAGTCCTCCTTGTCACGTCCTTTATCTCGTTGGCTTACTCCGGTACACAGGTAGGTTTAGTTTTCAGCACAACTTTAAAGGGCCTAATATATTCTGAGGCCAAATAAAGTGTAATTTCTTTAAAATGTAGAACTGGAATCCATAAAGTAAAACCAGTTTTGTTTTACTTAAAGGTGTTTCTGCTAAGGTGTAAAAGGTATACTTCTGTTATTGTGAAATTATATTGTTATAATATTGTTATTGTGAAATTATATTGTTATAATATTGTTATTGTGAAATTATATTGTTATAATATTGTTATTGTGAAATTATATTGTTATAATATTGTTATTGTGAAATTATATTGTTATAATATTGTTATTGTGATAATACATACATACATAAAACAGTTTCATGGCCTTCACATGTAACATTTGTAGGACAGTCACATGTAATTATTATTTCAACATGCCTTCCAGCAAGAACAGTTTGTATCTTTTATAGTCATATTTTTCTTTCACCACTTTAAAATAAATTTACATTTTTGTGTGTTTATACAAGGTGCTTTGGTCATATATTTAACTTGTTTTAGAACCTGCTTTAAAACTTTTGGGTTTTAATACTTCAATCTGTCTTATTGTTACTCAGTTTCTTAATTTACAGATTTGAATATCTGCTTATATACATATGAAATGATAAAACCCTATAATCCGAGCACTTTTTAAAGGTCCACCTTTTGAAAGCTCTTGGATTGTAGGGTTTTATCGTTTCATATTAAGACTTCTTGAATTTGCATGTTTTTCTGACATCGTGAATGCTTATAGACATATATATCAATGTTTATTTAGCCAGTGAAGCCACATATATTCAAGTGTTTGTCATCTTTTGAGTTCCAGGTATCTTTTTGAAATGGTTAACGTTTTTATTTCAGAAATTCTTTCTGTTTTTGTACGTAAAGTGAATGTTGATGTCAGTTTTGTATTATAGTTTTTTAAGAATGTTCAATTATCCAATTTTATTAAGCTTTTTTTCGCCCCCAGTAAATTAAAGAACTTTGATTGTAGACAGAAAGATATTCCAAATAAAATTAAATGTTGATTAATGTTTTGTAACATTAATATGTACATATGTATAAGTTCATACTACAGGTACCTGACCCTAATTCTGGAATGCTTGGGGCCTGAGCCATGCCAAATTTTGGGATTTACTGGTTTTGGGGTCATTTGGCCTGGCATGTACAGATGATATAAATAAAGTATGAAATACATACATAAAAGTTGTTATTTAATCGCCTTTTGGACAGTTTCATGATGAATAAAGGATTAAAAATTGAATGGTTTGTATTAACCCAATCCTAATTCTTTATTCAAGTTCTCTTTGTGTTATCTGACAAAAACACCAAAAAACAGCTAAGCTGTAATAAAGATGTGATATATACAAAAAAGAAAGAGCCATGTTATATAGAAATCTTGGAAATGACAACCGCTCATTAGTTACAGATATAGGTCATCTACTAAAATGTATCTAATAATCCATTGGTTTTCAAACAAAATGTTCAGAAGAGCTAAATAAAATCTTATTCCTAGGTTAAGCAGGAAATAAATTTGCATAATGCTAGAACCCATTTTTAAGTAAGAACAAACTATTCTGGCTATTTGTTTGTTTTTGTTGTTGTTTTTTGGCTACTTCTGGCTGCACAGCCTATCAGAACATTTTTTGATATTCAATTAAATTTTATCAGCAATTCTGCTACATCCAATTACATTTAACTAACAACTATAGTATTGGTCTGTTAATTTGTGAGATCAGTCATGTGACATATAAATATGGACTGCTTAAATACAAGATCTGATGGTAAACATCCACTTGTATAATATTCCCTGAGCACGTTGTTTTCGGTTGACATTTATTAACTTACTTCAAAGTTATTCTGTATGACCAGTCATTCAAGAGTTATTTTGTACTTTCATTTTTCTTTATCATTCATTGTTTAACGGGGCTCCAGTTTACCAACTTTCTCAACAGGTAAGAACTACGATCAACTGTTATCCATTCCACATCAACTTCAGACCTGATCTTAAAGATCTTGATAATCAAGTAGCAGTTAACATAACATAAAAAATCTTAAAGCCAACCCTTATCTTTCATGTACTTAACAAGTTTTTTTCTTAAACTCTCTTAAATTTACTGCCTCTACAACATCTGAAGGCAACCCCTTCCAAAAGCCAACCACCCTGTTAGAAAAATGAAAATGTCTTAGCTGAAGATGACTCCTATCTTGCCAAAATTAATATTTGTGTCCCCTAGTCCTACTATTATCGCTGTTAAACATGAAAAAAAGATGATGCATCAACACTATCAATTATCTTTACAATATTAAACACCTCAATCAGATCCCCCCTAACTCTTCTTTTTTCAAGAGAAAACAATTTGAGAGATTTCAACCTCTCCTCGAATGATAACCCTTTCATCCCAGGCACCATTCTTGTAACCCTTCTCTGAACCCTTTCTAACATTTCAATATCTTTCCTAAGGTGAAGAGCCCAAGACTGAACACAATATTCCAAATGTGGCCTAACCAGTGACCTGTACAATGAAATTATAACCTCTTTAAACTTGTATTCAATATTTCTGTAGATAAAACCTAAAATTCTATTTGCCCTACCACTAGCAACAGCACACTGATTGGATGGCTTTAGAGACTGATCGACTATTACACCAAGATCCCTTTCTGTCATAACACTTATTAAGGTTATTCCCATCCAAATTACACTTATAATTCAAATTATGATAACCCACCTACATTATCTTGCATTTATTATAATTAAAACTCATCTGCCATTTACTTGCCCAACTCATTAAATGATCTAAATCTTTTGTAAATCAGCAGCATCCTCTTCACAGCTAGCAACACCCAAGACCTTAATATCAAATGCAAAGTTGAGTAACTTATTGACTATTCCTTCATCTATGTCATTGATGTAAATCAAAAAGAGCAAATGTCCTAAGACTGAGGTACCCCACTTGTGACATTAATCCAGTTTGACTGAACTCCATTTGTAACAACCCTCTGCTTTCTTCCATCCAGCCACTCTTCTATCCAATTTGCTAACTTATCCGCCACACCTGTAGAGCTAATTTTTTTTACAAGCCTTTAATGTGGCACCTTGTCAAGTGCTTTATGAAAATCCAAATACACCAAATCTACACCCTTACCCTCATCTACATAAGCAGTAACCGTTTCATATAATGTTAAAAGATTTGTAAGG